ACCTTGACCGACCACTTAAACAACCAAGTTAACACAAGGGGGTTATCGGGAAATATAATAAAATAATAAAACAAAGTTAAAAAAATGTTAAACTAAAATAAATAAGAAAACGAGTGAAGTGTGGAATTACATTATTTACTATAAATTTAAAAAAAAAATAATACAAGTATTGTCTATTATATCTTAAGAAAATATTATGTGGTTGAATTAGTGATTAGAAATTGTGTTATAAATTAGTGAATAAATTAGTGGAATTACATTATTTACTCTAAATTTTAAAAAAATTAGTGATTAGCAATTGTTAGTTTGATTAATGATGCGTTATTCTTTAGCAATGTATGTAGGTATTAATTGCTTACTAACTTTTGTTTTTTCTTTTTAATTTTTTTATAGATTCATATGTGAATTGAAGCACAAGTTTAGCTTGAAGACTTCATATTTAGCTCAAGTGGGAAGTTAGAAGGAATACATCCATTGTACTTGCTATAGTGGTATGAATTATAAACTTAGTCTATATTTCTTTTTCTTGATTCATTTAATGAAAGTTTTTTCATGCTAATACAACTTGTGTATTGTTTAATGACAAATAAATACAACAATATATAAATGCTTGCATCATCATATGCCTAGATACCCGTTCAAGGCTTTCTCATTAGGAGAAAGTCTTGAATAGTCCCCGGTTGGGACTGTTCTTGAACGTTTACTCTCACTTAGGTGGTGAATGTATGTCTTCTTTTTTCAATTTTAAGGAACATCTTGGCTTAGCATTTCCTTACACTGTTCTCTGGGTACGTATGTGGGCAAGTAATTATCTACATCGTGTGCTTGGAGAACTGGGGGGAAATGCTGCCGGATTTTCCTTAAAATTGGAAAGTCGACATAAATTCACTAGTGAGATTAGACGTTCAAGGATGGGTTAGGTTGGAGTGATAAGGACCCTTTGGAAGCATATATGCATTTTTTTACTATAAGAATATTATATGCATGGTGTGTGTTTGAATTTTATTTACATATATAATATATGTAACAATTATACATTATTCGTAATATGTTGCTATGTTTAGACACAATTTACTCAATGGAGAAGGATCGTGGTTGGATGTATGGTAGACGTGATACATTGGAATTCTTTAATGGGGTTCAAGAGTTTTGCGAGAGGGCTTTATCTTATCAGCGTAGAATGGGTGTCAATTGCCTCTATTGTCCTTGTGTTGATTGTAATAATGTGAAGGTGGTCAATAGTGTTGATATCATTAGAAATCATGTAGTATGTCATGGGTTTAGGCTTAAATACCATGTGTGGATTTGGCACGGTGAAGAAGGAGAGTACAGTGGGGATGTTGATGGGAATGATGTGCATGATAGAAGCAATGAGATTTGTGTGGACGAGGAATACAGGAATGATGAATATATTATTGATAATGGTGATGAGGATGGATTTGAGGATGATCCGGTGGATGAGGTCGAGGATGAAGGGGTGGATGAAATGATGCGTGGTGTTGAAGGTGACGTGTTTGAGTCATTATCGGAGGCTTCTAAAAAGCCTTTGTATCTTGGGTGCAAAAAATACTCCAAACTATCAGCTGTGCTAACATTTTTGAACATACAGTCGAAGCATGGGTGGACGGACAATAGTTTTACTTCTTTGTTGACCGCGTTAAGTGAGATGTTTCCTGACGGGAATGAAATTCCTAAGTCTTACTATTATGCAAAGAAGCTCATGTGTCCATTTGGTTTGGAGTATAAGAAGATACATGCATTTCCTAATGATTGTATTCTTTATCGAAATGAATATGAACGATTGGAGGAGTGTCCACGATGCAAGAAGTCGCACTACAAGCGCATGAGTTACAATGCTGGTACGAAGGGACCTCCTGCTAAGGTGTTGTGGTATCTTCCCATCATTCCAAGGTTTAAGCGTGTTTTCTCAACACCAAAAGACGCTAAAAAATTGAGGTGGCATGCAGAGGGAAGAAAGAAAAACAAAATGCTGAAGCATCCAGCCGACTCCCCGCAATGGAAGAACATTGACATGAAGTTTGGGGAATTTGGTGATGAAGTCTGAAATTTAAGGCTTGGGTTGTGCACGGACGGGATGAATCCATTTGGCACTCTTAGTACCCGGCCAACACAGCATATGGCCGGTACTTTTAGTGATCTATAATTTGCCTCCTTGGTTGTGCATGAAACGTAAGTATGTAATGCTTTCACTACTAATAACGGGGCCAAGGCAACCTAGAAACGACATAGATGTTTATCTTGCGCCACTTGTTGACGATTTGAGAAAGATGTGGGACGAAGGCGTTTCCGTTTTTGATGCTCATAAGAATGAGATGTTCACGTTGCGTGCAGCTCTTATGTGGACCGTTAATGATTTTCCTGCATATGGCAACTTGTCTGGTTACAAGAACAAAGGAAAAAAAGCATGCCCCATTTGTATTGATGACACCCCAAGCATACACCTTGATAATTGTCACAAAGAGGTGTACGTGCGTACTCGAAGGTTGCTCAGGCGCGATCACCCGTACCGTAGGTAAAAAAAGGCTTTCGATGGGAAAGCGGAAGAGGGGACTGCGCCTAGGCCATTGACTGGTGAGGAGGTTTATGCTCGAGTTAAGGGTATACGAACAGTATTTGGGAAAACGGAAAAAGCTACGGACTCAACTGCTCTCTTCAAAAAAGAATCAATCTTTTGGAAGCTTCAGTACTGGAAAGAACATGAAGTTAGGCACTGTCTTGATGTAATGCATATAGAGAAGGATGTGTGTGATGCTCTTGTGGGAACGCTGATGAATATTCAAGGCAAAACAAAGGACGGAAAGGGTGCACGGTTAGAATTGGAAAAGATGGGGGTTCGTCCAGAATTGTGGGCATAGAAAAAGGTTAGAAAGGGAAAGGAACAGGAAATGGAAAATGAAATGAGTTCGAAAAAAGGAAAGGGGAAGAGCAAGGGAAAGGAAAAGGCCACGGATGCGTCGAAGAAGAAATATGCGGGAAAAGCCAAGGATGACAAGGCTTATTTACCTCCGGCTTGCTACACATTGTCAAGGGTTTGTAAAACGGATGTTTTGTGCATGTCTGTACGGCATTAAGGTTCCATCAGGGTACGCATCTAACAAGAAAATATTTGTATCCTTGAATGGAGAATTGAAGCTGACAAGTATGAAATCCCACGATTGTCATGTTCTGATGCAAGTATTCTTACCAATTGCAATACGTGGTATTTTACCAAAGCAAGTGAGGGAAGCTATTACAAGCCTCTGTTCGTTTTTCAATACAATATGCAGCAAAGTGCTTGATCCTTGTACACTTGATGCTTTGCAGGCGGATGTGGTTGTGACTTTGTGCAAATTTGAGATGTACTTCCCACCCTCATTTTTTGACATAATGGTGCATTTGATTCTTCATTTGGTGCGTGAGATAAATTTGTGCGGTCCAGTGTTCATGAGGTGGTGCTATCCCTTTGAAAGACACATGGGTACATTGCAAAATAAGGTAAGGAATCGGGCTCACCCGGAACGAAGTATGATTCAAGGGACCGTGGGTGAGGAGATTGGTAATTTTGTGGCCGACTATATAGCCGTTGCTGAACCTATTGGTCTTCCTACTTCTCGACATGAAGGGAGACTTGATGGTCAGGGCACAATCGGGTCGAAACGAATGTCATCTGATCGAGATAAGTTCTTACAAGCACACCTGTATGTGTTGCACCATGTTGCAGATGTTCACCCATACTTAGATGAGCACATGGCTAGTTTGCGTGATGAATTCCCATCGAAAAGTGAAAGGGCATTGATGCAGTTGCACAATAAGAGGTTTGTGAGTTGGTTTCGTGATCGAGTGATGGGTAGAATGGATGAGAGTGTCACTGATATAGTAAGGTGGCTTGCTTATGGTCCTGGGGATGATGTTCGCTCATTTGAGGGATATGACATAAATGGGTACACTTTTTGGACTGAGCGTCAAGATTTGAAATCTTCCTCGACCCAAAACGGTGGTGTAACGCTTGTGGCATCGTCAAGGGAGTATGCAAGTGCTAAGGATAAATCACCCGTTGATGCAGAGTTTTCATACTATGGTCGAATTCAAGAAATATGGGAGCTTGATTATTGTAACTTCACGGTTGCTCTTTCCGGTGTAAGTGGGTTGATAATATCAGGCGTAACGTTAAATATGATGACTTCTCTCTTGTAGATCTTGGCCACCTGAATGACAGTGCGGGACCATTCATCCTTGCATCTCATGCTAAGCAAGTGTTTTACGTAACTGACCCAGCCGATTCAAAATGTTCTATTGTGCTAGCCGGCAAAAGAAGAATCCTAGGCATTGGAGATGTCGAGGATGAGGAAGAATATGATGCGTTTGATGACTCGGCACCTTTCACTGTTCCTAGACCTGTTGTACCAAATGACATAGACGACCAAGCCAATTATATGCGATCAGACCACAATGAAGGAATATTAGATTGAGGTACTATTTTTCAGCAATTTTGAAATTGTAGGTGTTTAAAGTATTATTAAATCACAGGTTAGGTGAAATGAATGAAAGTGTTAACTTACTTGCCCATTTTTCACATTTTCTTTTAAATGAATGAAGTAACTTTTAAAACAATTGAAATATGGAATAAAAACAACCTACACTTGTCCATTTTCTATGTTGATTTGTATTATAATTCAGTAATTTATATTCGATTTTATAATTTTAACTTATAAATTTATTTATATTACAACTAATATCATGTTATGTTTGTCATGGCAGGTGTTTACATCTCATGGCGAACGATTAGGACCGTATTTGTGTCGAGGATGTAGAGGATGATGATGATGATCTCTCTGATGATGAGGACGAGCTGTATGATGCGAACAAGGAGCCTGATTTGGGTGAAGCAGAAGATCAGGCTCAGGATGAGTTGGAGCGTAGGCTTGATGAATTTGAAATTTCAGCTGAACAAGCGCCTCCTATTGAAAATGCAATTTCTGAGACTGTTGGTGAACCCTAATTCCCACACTCAAAGCCAACGACAAAGTGGAGGAGGGGTGAAGGCACCAGCTAAGAAAATGGTGAGGAGTCCGACGACAAGTTTCAAGAAACCCGTCGGTCCCATGGTCCTGGAGTACGACAAGGCGGGCCAACCTACAGGCAAATGGCGTCGTCAATATACTATTCATGTTGGCATTTGTGCGCGCAAAATCCCGATTACACTTGGTTGGCGGGAAGTAACTCCAGGCTTGATTGACATATTTTGGAATGATACAAGGGCAAGCTTTTTGTTTGCACATTTACACAGTTATAAATACCTTCACTTTATTGTTATTTAAAAATCGAAACTAATAATTTATTTTATTTGTGCTTGCAGAGTCTGTTTAATATTCCAAATGTTGCCGCCAAGCGAAGGGTGTTTGAATCTTTACTAGCGGAAAGATTCAGAGGCTTCAAGACCTCCTTAGTTCGTGGTTGGATCACAAAGACAGTTGTGAAAAAACCAAAGAAGAAGAAAGAAGGTGGCAATGATGATGAAGTCATCGAGGAAGAGCAACTCCCTTGGCAAAAATGGCCAAGCATATCGAAGGATGATTGGGAAGCTTTCGTTCTTCAAAAAAGTAAAAAGGAAGCAATTGTAAGTTTAAGTAAATCTGATGACAAATGTATAGTATATTAACTCTTTTTGAAGTAATGATACTAACATTTCTAATTATGTAGGAACTGAGGGAGCAAAATTCCAAATATGCAAGGATGAAGCTATACACCCAACGTATGGGGTGTAAGACATTTGGTGAATGGAGGGAAACATGGGTCAATGAAGGAGTATACCCCACTTCGCTTCAAGGGTCCTCTAAAGTACCCTCTGATTCCACGATCACTACGCTGGTGAGTCGTGCTGGTGATTTCTTCTATTCTCTGCATGCGCGTGACAAGGAAACCGGAAAATGGGTCATTAAGGCTCCAAAAACCAAAGAAATGGCAGATAAGCTCGTAAGCGACTATGAACTTGTGAACTTTATGAAGCTTTTGCATGAAAACCACTTATGGTTTGCTATGGTCTTGCTTGCTATCCTGTCTGCTGAGTGAAGCTGTGTGTTGGTTTGGATGCTGTTGGTTTCTGTTCTATTGCGTTTAGCTGTCTTGTTCTGTTGGTTTCATGTTGCCCTTTTTTTTTTGGCTACAGGTTGAACACACTGAAGAACTGGTTGAAGGAAAGCTCGTCCCAAGTGTAGAAAAAGACCCTTTCACCTTGGCTTTGGGAAAGCCCTACCATCCAGGACGGGTAGTAGGTGCAGGAGGGTGATTGCTCGGATGGGAAAAGGTGATGGGTCCAGAATACACCAAAACAGGAAGATCGAGCAAGTGTTAACTCACCTCATGACTTGGTTTCCACGGTGGCATCAATTAAGGAACAAGTGCGCAACGAGCTCGTAGGTGAATTCAATGCTTGGGCGAAGCAAATGAACTTACCGAGCTTGCCGTTCCCCTCGGTTACACTAGTCGACTCATGTAGTCACCCAAAAGGACAAGGAGAAGATGAAATACATGGAGAGGATGATATACATGAGGTAGTTTCAAATCTATTAGTTTTGGCATATTGAGTTACGTGGTCTAAGGTGGCATTAATTAATTTCCTGTTACAGGGTGGTACTCCTACACATGCGGACTCGAGGGAGCTCGATAATCCAGCACCTCATCATTTTCCAGATTTACAGGTGATTTTGTATAGTTCCAGCTTAGTGAATATGGGTACATTGAATGAAATTGTGTAGGAAACGACCCCTTGTGATATGTTTGGTTCTAATAAGTGATCTTTCAAATTGGTGTAGGAAGAGACCCGTTGTGCACTTCTACACCCGGGCGAATCTGGAGCTTTGCATGTGGTTGCATATGGTAGTGCACAACCGGCCGAACAAGGTACGGTCCATTTGCGACCGCTTAGGTCACAACATTACTCGGTCGGGATCAATTCTATGATTGCCGGGTTCGAGGACATCCTAATACTGGTGCCCGTAGAGGAGGATGAGTTTACTACACTTAGGGCAGCAAAAGGTAGCTTCGTGCAGTGGCCATGTGCTTGGGTAAGGTTGATGAACCAGGTAATTAAGATTTTAGGTTCACTCTTTACCCTATGCCCGGTTGTCTTCACAAGAGTTAGATGGATGTCTTTTCTAACCAATTGCGTGATTTGTTTTATCAGATTTCGAAAAAAAAACCAACCTTCAAAGAGGAGGGTAGAGCACCCTGAAAGCATTGATCAACCGCTGCCAAAGAAGAGGAGTGAACAACGGTCGGAGAGTGACATAGGGTCGAAGAAGAACTCTTCGAGAGGTTCAGCTATGCTAGCAACTCCGCTTCTTGCTGACACGGTCCTTCAAATGCTCTCTAAAGATTTAACTTTTCTACACAATCGTGTTAGTATGTTGCCTAGTGACACTCCCATTCAAGTTGCACTACCTATGGCAATGTTCCACTTTGATGAGGATGCAGTTGCATGGCTTAGCAAAGAAGATGTGAAGGAATTTCTAACTGGTTCAATGCTTAACATTTCCCTCATTCAAACATTCATGAGGTAATTCAATGCCGCTTAAATTATGTTATTCAGATTAGTGGTGATTGTCATTTATTTTTCCATTAATATTTTATTATCATGCATGCAGAGCACTACAGGAGCACTTACTTGAGATTGATTCTCCGTGTCAAGTAGGGTGGTTATGCCCCAAGCAGATCTCCACTACTAGAATCTTAGGCAACTACCCTGACGTGTTGTATTATGTTGAACGGGGTATCAAGGAATCAGTGCGTGCGGGAGACAAGTTCATATTCGCCCCATGTTTTGAGGAGTACGTCTGACTATGTCAAATTCATTTGTTTCCCCTAATTATATGTTGTACACGGCAAATTATTGATTTGTTTGTGTATTGTGAATTTATGTAGTTCACATTGGACCCTGTTGGTGATTTGTGTTTCCGGTAACACAATCTTCCTTTTTGATTCAGCTTGATTGCCTCATCCAAAAAAGCTCCTCGTGAAGTCTATACTGCGAAAGTAAATAAAGCTACCTAGTGTTGATTATCATTACCTAACTCATTTATTAGTCATACTAATCAAGTTTGAACTTACTTATCTATAGTGTTATGAAGAAGATAAATTGTCGAGCTCCTCAAGGTCCCACATGGAAATCACTGATGGTAATGCTACATGACATTATGATTTTCGTAATAAACAATGCATAAGATGTTGCTAATTTGCTATGCATGTTTGATTCATGTACTTTGTTCCTGTGCTAGTGCGCACAATAAGATAAAGCTACCTAGTGTTGATTATCATTACCTAACTCATTTATTAGTCATACTAATCAAGTTTGAACTTACTTTTCTAGTGTTATGAAGAAGATAAATTGTCGAGCTCCTCAAGGTCCCACATGGAAATCACTGATGGTAATGCTACATGACATTATGATTTTCTTAATAAACAATGCATAAGATGTTGCTAATTTGCTATGCATGTTTGATTCATGTACTTTGTTCCTGTGCTAGTGCGCACAACAAGATAACAGAGTTGATTGTGGACTATATGTGATGAGATTCATGTTCGACATACTGAGTCGTTGTACAGACACACTACAGCTTGATGAGGTATGCCATTAACTTTGTTAATTTGCTCTTTTCGTGTGATTTAACAAGAAATGTAGAAAATAGGCAACCTAGTATCCATATAGGCCTTATTTTGGCCATTTTCGATGAAATTGCGTCCTAAAACACTTGAATTGCTCTTCTAATGTGATTTCAAGGCTTAGCCGCCTATAACTAGGTAATAATGACATGTTAAGAGCAAGAATGAGTTGATTTGACAAAAAATGTAGAAAATAGGCGTCCTAGTAGTCATGTAGGACTTATTTGGGATTTTGAATGAAATTGCGTCTTAAAACCATTGAATTGGTCTTCTAATGTGATTTCTAGCCTTAGCCGCCTAATACTAGAAAATAATGACATGTTAACAGCAAGAATGAGTTGATTTGATAAGAAATGTAGAAAATAGGCAACCTAGTATCCATATAGGCCTTATTTTGGCCATTTTGGATGAAATTGCGTCCTTAAACCCTTGAATTGCTCTTATAATGTGATTTCAAGGCTTAGCCGCCTATAACTAGGTAATAATGACATTTTAAGAGCAAGAATGAGTTGATATGACAAGAAATGTAGAAAATAGGCATCCTATTAGTCATGTAGGCCTTATTTAGGATTTTGAATGAAATTGCGTCTTATAACCATTGAATTGCTCTTTTACTGTGATTTCGAGTCTTAGCCGCCTATAACTAGGTAATAATGCCATGTTAAGAGCAAGAATGAGTTGATTTGATAAGAAATGTAGAAAATAGGCAGCCTAGTATCCATATAGGCCTTATTTTGGCCATTTTAGATGAAATTGCGTCCTAAAACACTTGAATTGCTCTTCTAATGTGATTTCAAGTCTTTGCCGCCTATAACTTGGTAATAATGGCATGTTAAGAGCAAGAATGAGTTGATTTGATAAGAAATGTAGAAAATAGGCAACCTAGTATCCATATAGGCCTTATTTTGGCCATTTTAGATGAAATTGCGTCCTAAAACACTTGAATTGCTCTTCTTGATTAGGGGATTTTTCCCCACCAATCACCATCTGACAAGTGGACCAATCAGGTTCCGCCATGTGTCTGTCACATGGGCCAATAGGCGCCTGCCACGTGTCAAGCAATGATCCGTCCACTATGGACCAATTACGACACGACACGTGTCCTTCCCATGACACCTGGGATAACCGGTCACCTAGGCCCAACTTCCGAGGGAAGCCCAATCAGCCCAAGGTGAACCTAAACCTAGATTGGCACGTTTCCCGAGGTTATAAATACCTCCCTTAATCCTCATTAAGGGAGATTACGCAAAAAACGCAGATTACACACATTAAACACTCTCACCTAGAGAGACCCAATCACTTTAATTTCCGCATTAATTACTCCTTAATCAAGTACTAACTTGACCGTCGGAGGCGGATCTCCAATCATCCGGAGCATCCGTTTGTTTTACAGGTACAGGCGTCCGGTTCCAGTCTCAGAATTGTAACTCTCCCGCAGGACATCAGAAAACCCCGAAACATTTTGGCGCCGTCTGTGGGGAGAGTACTTCTGAGATGGCATCCACGTCTGTACCGGCTCCTGAAGAGAGGCGTCCCCTAGACGACCCTCAAGTTCAGTCGGACCACGATACTGAGAATGAATTTGAAGTTGAAGCTCACACAGCTTCAGACGGGACCCTAAGGGCCTGACGTACCCGTCATACCGAAAGGAGGGAACGGGAACATCTTCAAACTGGAAGCGAGCCAGCAGGCGCACCGCCTGTTCGGCAGCAGCCGACTGATGGGTCTGCTCCCATCACAAGGAACGAACTCATGACCTTCATGAGGGACTTCAAGGGAGAAATTCAAGAGTTGATCAACAAGAAGCCGCCTGCTCTGGACAAGGAGCAGTCGGCTAAGAAACCCTCCACTTCACGGAAGAGGAAGCCAGTTCAAGGGCGAGAGGCGACCCCTCATCCTAAATCTAGGAAGTGGGAGCCACCTGCCCTTGATTTCTCAAAATACCGTTTTCCTACTCCAGGAAATAGGAAACCTGTTCGTCATATTCAGGCGGACGGGTCGAGGAAAACATACACAGACGCTCGGCTACTGCTAGAGCAGAAGAAGAGTGACCGATTTTCAGAGTCGGCCTCTACTTCAAACTTCCAAGACAGTCTGCAAAATACCTCGATGAGGCATACTCAGTCGTATCATGAGGGTCAGTCAGGCGACACCTCCCGTCAGTCCAGCTTTCATAGCGACCAGGCGGTACCAAACTTACCGTTTGTACCGCAACAACAGTATTTTTTACAGCCACCTCCGTTTGGTGGACATGCAGCAAAAAATGTCCAACCTATGGACTGGCAGCTACGGTTGCTTAGACTTGGTGAACAGCCGTCGGCCTTCTCCAAGGAAATTACTGAAGCCGCTCAGCCGGCCAAAGTGAAAAATGTATTAGTAGGCGCCTATGACGGCACTACTAACCCAGAAGACCATCTGATGGCATTCACCAACCTGATGTACCTTCAAGGGTTGGATGATCCCACTTGGTGCAAGTGTTTCCCAGCGACTCTCAAAGGAATCGCACAACAATGGTTCGGCAACCTGCCGACTGGTTGTGTAAATAACTTCAAGACGCTTGCTTACTTATTCACCTCCAACTTCGCCATGAACATCCCTGCGAAGGAGACGACCCTTGATTTAGGAACAATTCAGCAGGGCGAGAAGGAGGGGCTTCGTTCTTACATCAGGCGGTTTAACCTGATGAGAATACAGATTCAAGGGTTACCGGATGAAGTAGCCTATACTGACTTTTTCAGAGGTCTCAAAGACGGGTCGACCTTCAAATTTGATTTGGTCCGAAAGAGGGTGGCGACTCTTCAAGAGGCCTTGATTGAAGCGGAAGCTTATATACAGGCGACTGATCTTTGTAGTACGGTAAAACAGTCAGACGGGAGAAGGTCCGACAAAAGAGAAAGACGACAGAAACAGTCGCCAAACAAAGACGAGAAGAGAAAAGAGGTCTGGGCGGCTGATTCCTCTAAACAGCCGGCCCAGAAAAAGAAAAAAGAATTCAAACCATACTCCCCAAAGTATGCGTTTAACAAGGATAGCCAATTTATCCTAAAGGAAATCAAGGGACGGATCTCAATTGAGAAGCCGGTCCCCATGAAGGGTTCTGCAAACAACCGGAACCAAGAAAAATTCTGTGATTATCATGAAGATGTTGGTCATCACACCAATGAATGCATCAGTCTCATGCGGTATCTGGACCGCCTGGCTGAGCAAGGTGATCTTGACACTTATGTCAAGAAATCTACGGGGAACACTTCCTCGAAAAAGCAGTCGGCCAAAAAGAATCAACAGGCCGACAGCTCCAATACAGATGATGCAGTCGTCTACACCATTGCAGGCGGCTTCTCAGGAGGCGGCCCCACTATTAAGGGCAACAAAGACAATATCAGAGGTTAGATGTAAATTCCGTTCACCAAGAACGACCCTCCAAATATTCATTTCCTGAGATAGTCATCACTGAAGAAGATCTAGGAGGGGTAAGAGGGCCGCATGACGACCCTATCGTTATTGAATGTAAAGTGGCCAACCAGAGAGTTGGCCGAATCCTCATAGATACTGGAAGCTCCTCAGATCTCATCAGTAGCAAATGTCTGTCGAAACTAAAATATCAGACTGATTGCATACATCCGGCATCCCACCCTTTAGTAGGGTTTGGAGGAGGAGTCGTCCACCCAGTGGGACGAGTAGATTTACCCATCCGCCTGGGTGAAAAAGGGGAAGGACGACACATGGTAGTCCGGTTCCTGGTAGTAGAAGAACTCTCGGCCTACAACATGATTCTGGGACGAACAACCCTGAATAATTCCAAGGCTGTTATAATCCCATCTCTTATGTTGCTCAAGTTTGAGAGGGATAATGGAACAGTAGGGTCCCTAAGGGGAGATCAGAGGATGGCCCGAGAGTGCTATCTCTCGGATGTCAAGCCCACTGTTATGGCCACTATGTCGAGCGGTGGAAAAATAGACCTTGACAATGTCAAGGAGAGTGCGCCTGTTCAAGAAGCAGGCGGCAAGAAGAGAAAGGCATCCCAGACAGGGGCCGCAAGAAAAGACAGAAAATAGCAATCATTGGCAGAGGAGCGGTCGGATGAATTCCGCCCTTAGCCAGCTGGTGAGCATACGGACCTGATGTTAGATGACTCGCGTCCTGACAGAACAATCAAGGTTGGGACGACTGCTCTAAGGGACCTGGGTGACGACTTTCACAAACTATTGAAAGAATACAAGGACATCTTTGCATTCGAAGTCCATGAAATGCTAGGCATCAGTCCTGATCTGGCGGTACATAAACTGGCCGTGGATCCGAAAAAGAAGCCGGTAAGGCAGAAGAAGCGGAACCATGGCGAAGAAAGAAGTCAGGCGGCAGCCGCCGAAGTTAAAAAATTACTTGATGCAGGGTTCATCCGGCAATGTTACTTCCCAGACTGGGTTGCCAATGTGGTGCTTGTTAAAAAGCCGAATGGCACCTGGCGAATGTGTGTAGACTACACAGACTTAAACAAGGCGTGCCCCAAAGACAGTTACCCTCTGCCTAAAATTGATAACCTGGTCGACTCAACAGCCGGCCATGCTTTGATGAGCTTTATGGACGCCTACTCTGGTTTCCATCAAATTCCTTTATGGGAGAAAGATCAGGAGAAGACGGCCTTCGTCACTGATCAGGGGTTATACTGTTACACGGTCATGCCGTTTGGTCTTAAGAATGCCCCGGCCACTTTCCAGCGAATGAAACACTGTGTTCTTTGATCAGATTGGGAGAAATGTCGAGGCATATATTGATGATATGATTGTCAAGTCTAAACTTCAGAAAGATCATCTGTCGGACCTCCGAGAAACTTTCGCCACACTCAGGCGGCACCATGTCATGCTCAATCCCAAGAAATGTGTCTTTGGAGTTGAGTCTGGGAAATTTCTCGGATTCCTTATCAATCAGAGAGGAATAGAGGCGAACCCTGAGAAGGTGC